CTCTCTCCTCTCCTCTCTTTCTCTCTTTCTCTCAAATCATCCTCCCTTCCCTTTAAAATACCTTATAACAATCATACAAGAACATCCCACGTATCTCGTCAAATCATAGAATCTTAATCTCTTCTGTTGGCACGCGGGAGGGGAAAGAAATCTTAATGACATGGAGTCTTAATAATGGACAGACGAAGGATAGAGTAAATTGACCTAAGACATATTTGACCTCGTATGAGAAGGACCAATTTCAGGCTTTGACAAATGACATTGGTTTTCTCTCTGCAAGTAAACATACGATTTACTCTAATAATGATTAAAAAAAAGAGAGAAAATAGTGAATAAATGATAAAACAGGTAGATAAATAATAATGGAGAATAAAATAATGATCATTTGGAATATACTTAATAATAATGACTAATGATAAAAAAGAGAAAATAATGAATAAATGATAAAACAGGTAGATAAATCCAATTGGAATATACCTCTAAAATGATAAAAAAAGAGAAAATAATGGAATAAATTGATAAAAAAGAGAAAATAATGATTAAATGATAAAAAAGAGAAAATAATGAAATGATAAAACAGGTAGATAAATCATTTGGAATATACTCTAAATAATGATAAAAAAAAAGAAGAAAATAATGAATAAAGGATAAAAAAGAGAAATATGATAAATGATAAAAAGAGAAAATAATGAATAAATGATAAAGAAGAGAAAATAATGAAATAAATGATAAACAGGTAGATAAATCAATTGGAAATAAATATGATAAAAAAAGAGAAATAATGAAATAAATGATAAAAAGATAGATTAAATTTGGAATATACTCTAATAATGATAAAAAAAGAGAAAATAATGAATAAATGATAAAAACAGGTAGATAAATTAATTGAAAACATAAAACTAGCTCAAAAAAAAGGAAAAAAATCGATAGAATTCCCTCATACTCCTAATTGTTCTTAGAAAAAAAGATTATAGTGATTAAAATGGAAAGGAAAGATTAACGTTAACGTGAAAATAATCAATTTAATCATTGATGTTGCAAGGTCTGAGGTCACGTGATTTCACTTTTGAAAAAAGTAATTAGAAATATCAACCAAACATCAAAATTAAACACGAAGAGTGGAATTAAGAAAGAAAAAAAAGAAAGAAAGAAAGAAAGAAAAAATATATGTATATATATATATTTATTTATTTATTTATTTATTTATCTATTCATTTATACTAACATTATATATTGAAGGAAATTCGGCTCATATGTTATTTCTTTCTTATAAACATAAAACACAACGGAAAAATATTTCTAATCAGTTCCAAAATCGTATTTATAAATTGTTCACACACTGACTGAATGATGTTAATTGTTCATGTACATTAGATATATGTATAAGATTCTATTCCGTCTGTTGAACTGTTCATCTACAAGGAACATTGTACTTATATTGTACTTCAATTGTACTACCAATGTACTTCCACCATACTACCACTGGCCGTAAATTTACTTCCATTGCCCTTGTTAATATCATTGTACTACCACTGAACTACCATCGCCCTTCCATCGCCCTTCCATTATACTTACATTGTACTTCCA